GCTCTCCCCGCCCGGAGGCTTTTCACGGCCGGTCCGTTCACTGCGCCGCACAGCTCAGCGCGCTGATCATCGGCGCCTTCCGCACTACGGGAAGCCGAAGGGGAAGCGCGGGGCCCAAAGCCTCCCAGCCGTCCCACCCGACTGCACAGTCCCGCTGCGGTCCGGCCGGCCGCGGAGTGTGAGATAGCCTCCGAGGCCCTGGCCCGGATGAGAGACCCCTCGCCCAGCAGGACGGAGTGGGGACCCCTGGAAGCCCGTCGGGGCCCACCTGACCCCTGGCGGAGGGAAATCTGCTTTTCTGTCTCGCAGTGAAGGAGTAGCATCTCCAGCGAGCTGACGTGCTCCCCTAACGGGATGGGAATGAGGTCGTAGAGGAAACGGGCTTTCCGGACTAAAATGCAAGCTGTGCGCGTCCGGAGTTCATTTCTACAGTAACAGTACCTCTACAGTAACAATATCTTCCCTCCGTTCCTGCCCTGGCCTCGTTTCCTTCTGGCTTTGTTGTTTCGTGTTTTGAAACAAGTCTCAGTAGGAAGACCAGGTCAGCCTCGGATTCAAGGTCTTCTGCCACAGCTTCCCGAGGTTTGCCGACCACCATACCCGGGATTCCTCTGTTCTTAGAGGCACTGGGGCAAATCATTAATCTAACGGGGTTGGTGGGTCTCATTCTAGAGCTGCAGCAGGAGGGGTACGGCTTTAACAAGTGTATTTGACCTTATGATGTGGCAACAAGTGTGCAGAGAGAAAAGCTGCGGGTCGATTGAGGGTGGGTGGAGAGGATGGGAGTTCATCTTGGCAGAAAGGAACCTGTTTTCAGCACCTGAGAAAGCTGCCTTGGACCTTGAAAGAGCTGGCAAAGCTGCAGCCTGCATCAGAGCCAAGAGTGCTGGGTCAGGGGAGATCTGGGTCAATCCCTAGGGTTTGGGGTAAGGGTTCTGAGTTGGGGGGAGAAGGGCATAGTTTCCCCGGGAAGGGCTGGCTGGTTGGCTCTGCCAGGACATACAGCTGGCGGCTGGGTGTCCCAGCATGGCCCAGGCCTGTCACCCTGCGTGGAGTCCCTGGCCCTGCTCCTCACTCCTGCGTGGTGCTGCCTGCCCCAGTGGAGCCTGCTCGAAGTGATCCCCACAGCACCAGGGCTCCAGGGCCCTCCTTGATGGTCCCCCCAGGAGACCTGCCTTTGCCTCGCCTGCCCAGGCCCTGTCCACTGGGTCTCCTGTGGCTACGAGTACCTGTGCCTCACCAGCAGCCCACACTGCCCATGAACCACACTACGCTGGATTCTCTCACATTTTCTTGTCACTCCTGAACTGGTCAAAATTACAAAGCTGGTTCCAGGATTCCCTCCATTTTAGAAATGGGGAGTCCTTGGCTGTAGACACACAGCAGGAAGTTCACTGGCTTCCAGTCCCATGATCTTTCCTGTACACCATGCTGCCTGAGATTTTGGGAAGGGCAGAAACATGGCTCCTCTCTCCTTGACCTTCTCACCCCTGCTGCCACCTGGTGCCTGGGGGAGGGAAGCACCTACGCTAGGGAACTTCCAGCTGTGCTCCTGTGTACGCTGGGTCCCCTGCTCTGCGGATCTGGCTCCGCTCAGTTTCACCCACGGTCATTTCAATCTCCAGTGCTGCCACTACTGGTCATCCTATCCCCTAACCAGATGGTGCCCACCCCAGTGACCCCAGAATGAGCCACCTGAAGGGAGTTGTACCAGATGCTCACCTGACCGCTACAGATGGTTCTAAATCTGCAACTCAGGTAACAGGGAAACTCATAACTACAGTTACCACCCCCAAGTTGCTAAGGCCAAATGCCTGCCAAGTCCCGCTGCTAGGCTGGGGCGGATTCTGCCCACCAGCCGTACAACCACATTAACTGAGAGGCTTGGAGGATGGGTATTCTGGTCAGATGGCCCTGCTGGGCATCTGAAGTCTGACTTGCAAAGTCTTTCTGTACTGCCTGACTTTAATAGCAAGACACTAAAAAGATCTAAATGGCCAAGCACAGAAGACTTGCATTGTTAATCACAGGTTATTCACATAATGGAATTCTATGACCTGTCATTCTAGAGTTACAGAAAAATATTCAATGACTAGAGGGATGGTTACAATATATTAAATGAAAAGCTTCAGAACAGTAATACAGAATAAGGCCACACTCCTAAAAGAAATATAATGTTTTCCTTACATGTAATAGGAAAAAACGAGAAAACACTAAAATGTTAATTGTGCTGTCTTTGGGAATTGGTATGACAGTGACTTTTTGATGACATGGTTCAAAATGCAAATAGAACAGAAAGTTATAAAATGAAAATATGTCCCCCATTTCTGTCTCCTAGGCACCTAATCTCACTCTGTAGACCACCTAGAGTGCTGTTTCCTATACATGTCCAGACACATTCTACTCAAATTAAGTTTATATTTTCCATTCCTATTTTTTATACAACAGCAAAACATATATGGTGTATCTAAACAGTAAAACCTTAGATTGTAACTTGTTCCACAAGACAAGCAAATGTTTCTAATGAATTTTAACTTGATAAGCAAGTGATGCCTTGCAATGTAGGTAGTAAGAGACGCTGAACGTCACACGGTCACAACTGAGCCAGTGGTTCTTCTGTCTCTCTCACTGGGGGACTGTGGGTGATCGACTCTCAACAGCAAGAGGTTGTGGAGATCTCTGCAGAGGAAGAGAAAAAGGTGGAGGAATCTCTTACTTCAAATGAGAATACAGATGCTGGGTGTAGTGGCGCACGCCTGTAATCCCAGCACTCGGGAGGCTGAGGCAGGAGAATCACTGTGAGTTTGAGAGCAGCCTGGGCTACACAGTGAGTTCCAGGTCAGTCTCAACTACATAGTGAGACCCTGTCTCAAAAAACAAACAAACAAACAAAAATGAGAATACAGAAAGTTGTAAAATGCAGGAAACAGTGATAATTTTTGCAGAAAATACCACCTGGTGGGCCAGAGATGTAGCTTAGTGGTGCTGTGCCTGCCTCGCAAGCACAAGGTCCTGAGTTCCATCTCCAGTACCACACAAAGAAAAAAAAAAGAAAAAATACCACCAGAATAAGGCTGTAGCATCATGAGTGATTGATCTGTTTAAATGACAAGCACCCACATAGATATGTAGGTGACGTCCAATCTTTCACTATGACAGTATTACAAATAATTATAATACTCTTCATTTTCCTGCTTTCATGTCTGTAAATAGGAAAAACATTAAAGTCTCTGTCCACAAGACACAGTGAAGTGGTCTTGCTTAGTCTACTATGTCCAAAGAGCACCCTTCTCACTCCCTGCTCAGAGAAATCAACAGCTCTTGAGCACCTACTGGGTGCTCAGAAGGCACCGAGGCTTCCAGTCACCAGTGGAAAAAAACCCCACCGCACCCTGTGGTCTGTCGTGTGATACCTGCTGTATCGCAGCTCATTTCACCCACGCGGAGGGCAAGGGAACATCCGTGTACACCTCATGTGCAGGCCCTGCGGGGAGCACTTCTCATAAGCACATAGCCCAGTTAAAAGCGTGGATACTAGGGCCAGACGCCCTGGCTCTATTATCCTGGCTCTACACGTACTGTGTGACTTTGGGCTGGTTACACAATCTCTATGCTCTCTCATTACCATTTCTCTTATTTTTGTTTTTGTTTTGCGATGGGGACTCAAGTGTTCTCCAGAATGGCTCTGGATTCCTATGATCTCCTGCCTTCAACCTGCTCAGCAAGTTGGCCTGTCACAACTCACCTCATCATTTTAAAAACGCAGATGAATAATGGCGCAGATCGGGGTACCAGCTGAACGCAGTCCACACTTGAGGAGGGTCTTTCATAGGCTGTAAACACCAGGGTGGGACCACGGTGGCCACACTAGTGTCCACGTGCCACACTTCCCAGGGCATCCGAATCCCCCATGTGCAGAGCAGCTGAGGTCTCACACCCTATACCAAGGCCTTATCCTACCAAGTCATACTGGCACCGATATGTAGGCTCCAATCCCAGGTATAATTGCAGAGATGCCCAGCGTGGTATTGGAGCTTTATCTGGAGACCCTGGTCCTGGGCCAGTATTTTTTCAGTTGGCAATAGCACCAAACTATGCTGTCACCAGGCCCCTAAAGGAACTTTTCAAATTAGATCCTTGATTCCTTATCCTTACTCTCTTCCTCTTACCTATTAACCTGACCCTACAGGAAATTAAGGACAAATTAAACAGGCCCCAGCTAGTGATTTGTATGTCTTACCCAGGTGATGCCTGGGTAAGAAAGCCGGTCACTGCTCACCAGGGACGGCCCAGATCCAAAGCCCAGGTCTGTCTCCAGCATCCCAGGGCCCACGTCCAAGGCAACACACTTCTAATTCAGGGTTTCCTCTAGGCCCAAGCTTTCTTATTTGAGCCTGAACTTGAGATAACTTGGGAAGTAAAGTAATGTGAAACACTCAGATACACAAATGCACCTTTGGGTGCCATCGCCTTGTCCTTGCTCAGTGGGTGAGAGGATCCTGTTTTCATCTCTCCTCCCACAGTATTCACTCACCCTTGTAGCTGTTCTCACCTTGCCTGACCCCAGTGCCCATGCACACCCTTCCTCCAAAGGAGATGTGGGGTAGGTGGAGCTGGGGCCCACTCCCAGCAGGGCTGCAGGGCAGACTTCCAGAGTGTGACTTAAGCTGCCACCTGCACCGTCCCCACGATGGGAAACGCCTGCCCACAGGGGAGACATCTGATGGCCTGGGGCAACCGGGTCAAATGTCCCAGATCCTATGGGGACACGTGGCCAGTCACGCAGGTGACTGTGAGCCTCGGTGGCATCCTGGAGGGCCGAGCAGCCATGCAGCCAAAAGCACATCCATCTTAGACATACACTGACAGAAGGAGGAATATTTATTTCTTAAAAATCTGGTCCCACAGAAAGGTCAACACTTCAGCTCATGATATTGACCTTCCACAAAAGAAATCTTTTCACTGAGAGGTAAGGTTAATTCAATAAAGAAATCTCCACGGTGCACACAGATCAAGTGTTTCCCTGTAAACTGGCCGTCCAGACTCCAGCACTCGCTGCCCCTCTGTCTGTCATTCCCAGTCCCCGACGGAGGAAGTCAGCTAGGAGGCTGCCTGAGGATAAGGCACTTCAGAGAAAAGTCCACGTCCACAGGAGCTGCCAGCAGGCAGGAAGGCCGCCCAGCTCCATGACAAGTTTGCACCTTCCTGCCACACGCTGTCCACCCCCATCCCCGCCTGCCCACCTGGCTAGCAGACAGGGACCAGGCGAGCGGAACCAGTGCTGTGTGGGCTTGGGCCAGCGGGTGGGCAGCACCTTCCGAGCTCCGTGCTGGCACACTGCAAAGACGAGTTAGTGCGGATTTGAATGTTAGCAAAGCAAAATAGTACATTTTAAAAAGCAGGGCCAGGGATTTAGCTCAGCGGTGCCGATGACTGCCTCACAAGCATAAGGTCCCGCGTTCGATCCCTGGTACCAAAAAAAAAAGATGCTTACTCCTCCTTCCATTTTCCCCGATGGCCTGTTCAAGCTCAGCCCGCGGACCCACTAGAAATGAGGCGGGGATCCTTTGAAGGGCACCTGACTGAGTGACGACCACCAAGAGAAGTGTAGAAAGCTCCCCGCCAAGTGACCCCGCGACACCTGTACCCCAAGCAGGGCTGCTCTGAGTCTGAGCCGCAAACTTAACCCATTCTGTTGATTTTGGGGCTCATGTTTAATGCGGGTCTCTGCAATGAAGAACGGTCTCAAGAGGGACCGGGTAGGGGTCCTGGAGTTTCTTCTCTGGAGCTCTAGCTGCACAGTCGAATTCCGGAAACACTGATGTGGGGCCAGTTTACTGCCCCACAGGGCCAGTCTGTCAAGAGCCAGCAGAGAGAGGAGAGGATGCTGCGGGAGCCAGCCAGGGCACACTGCCTCCATTCCGCGCCGGGACACAGCAGCTCCTTCCCACACGCAGCGTCAGAAAAAGCTGTGCTCTGTTCAGAACTGAACCCAGCCTGTGCCCGGCTGCATCTGGCTGGAAGTTGACCTGTAAGGGGGACACAGGGAGGGTGGGAGCTCAGCTGTTTGAAAGCAGATAGAACGTGGGTCGCTGGGCCAGAGCTCTGAGCCCGTGGTGGCAAAGCCATGGCACACGTGCTGTTCTATCCCTGAGAGCCCTGAAAGGTTCGCCATCACTGCTCTAAGCAGCCTCTAAATGGTTTAGGGCAGCAGTCAGCCAACTGTGGCTCAGGGACCAAATCTGTGTGTTTTCTTTAAAAAGACTCTTATGGGCTGTATCGTGCCTTGTAAGTAAAGTTTGGCCGCACACAGCTGTGCCCACCTATGTCCATCCTGCGTGGCTCTTCCATGCTGCAGAGCAGGACTGAGTAGCTGGAATGAGACCACACACACCATCCAAATAATTCGCCATCTGGAGCTGACCCAGGCCCAGAGCCTGTCCACCTGGATAATGGTGACCCTGACCCCAAGGGAAGGCCTGAAGCCTCCTGCAGTCCAGCCAGGCCAGACACTTTCCCTCAGGGGTGCCACCAAGGTGGGCCAGGTGTACAGCCAGGACAGCAGGGTGAGGTTCTGGGGACAAGCCAGGCACGTGTTGTGGTGGTACAGAGGACCACACAGAGTTGAACAGGTGGCCTCAGGTAGTGGGGAGCTGCAAAGGCCTTCAGGGAGGCACAGAGGACAACGTGCCACCCAAGGCAGGTGCCCAGGCTGGCCTGAAAGAGTCCGGTGAGACCTGCCCACCAGGAAGACCATGTGTGGGGCCGTCCTACCCGGCCTGGCCATGCCAGAACGCAGCTCTCCTCACCCTGTGGACTTGGTAAAGTCTCCCCAGATGTCAGCGGTGGCAGCAGTGGCGGGGTTGGACTGTGGCCAGGATACGGTAGCAACTCCTATTGCTGCTTCCAGGTCCAATGGGTGAGGAGAAAGCAGAGACAAGGGAGTCAGAGACCGAGTGACAGTGGCACAGCTCCGGGCTCTGTAACACCAGCGAGTTACATATTTCCACCATCACCCTCGTGAGCCCTTGAGGGTGTCTGGGGAGCAGAGAGCAAGAGGAAGGTGGAACAAGCCACATGTCACCTGTCGCTCAGGCCTGAAGAGGATGCTGAAGTCTCAAAAAAAGAGCATCCGGCACCAGATATGTGTCAAGACCCAGTCCCCAGCAGGTCAGGTCCGAGAGCGCCTTGCAGAAGAGCACAGGAGACACAGAAGCGGGCCTCAGGGATCTCGTCACTGGGTGGGAGGCAGCAGTGGTGCCTGCTTTGGGGCTCTGCTGGCACCTTGCCTGTGCTGCAACTGTCCCTTCTGAGGGGCCTGTGCTTGCCACCCTCTGCTTTCCCACTAATCTGCTATTTCTCCTCTGTGCCGGGCTAAAAGAACAGATAAAACAAGGCCCTCAGTGGTGAATTTCATGGTTTGCCAAGTGCTCAGCCACATCATCTTGTGTGAACCCTGCCAGTCCCCCAGGAAGACACACCAGCACTGGCTTCAGGTCTGTTTTTGAGACAAGGTCTCGCTATGTAGTTCACACACTACGTAAACTGAGTGATGTTGTGCATACCTGTAATCCTAGGAGGCTGAGACAGGAGGATCACCATCAGTCCAGGCCAGTTTAGGCCAGCCTAGACCGTACATAATGAGACTGTCTCAAAAGGCAAAAGAAAAGGGGGCTGGGGAGGGCTCACTGTGTAGCCCAGACTGGCTTCAAACTCTCAGTGACTCTCCTGCCTCAGCCTCCTCAGTGCTTGGATTACAGACATGTGCCACCACATTCCTGGTCTTGTGACTGTGTGTGTAGGTCACTTAAGTTTTGGTTCTATCATCTCTGAAGTGGAGACGGTAACCATGACTACCTCACAGGACTGCTGGGAGAATTAAATGAGTCAGTGTACCCGGAACGCTCAGCACAGGCCCAGCACTCTATGGCTGTAATGGGGTAACATTAACAAAGGGAGGAAGAACCACCCATGAATGCTCACAAGGTTCTAGATGAAGCTCTAAGTGCAGTTCCCAGATCAGCTCACTGGATCTTCACAGGAAACTGGTGCTGTGGTGGGCATTGTTTCATTTTGTTTCTTTTCTTTTTTGGTACCAGGGATTTAACTCAGGTCTTTGCACTTGCAAGGCAGGCAGTAGAACCACTGAGCCAAATCCCTGGCCCCTACGGGCATTGTTTCTAGTCTGCCCTGCAGACGGGGTGCAGAGAAGTGACTGTTTTCAAGGGGGTGGGGGCCCCACGAATGCGAGCTAGAGCCGACAGATGCTGGTGTGGTGAGCACTGTGTGACCGGCCCTGTCTGCAGACCGCCTGACCACCCAGCTCGGACCTGAACAGGAGCCGGAGAGAGCAGGGACACCTGCTGAACAGACCCACTCCAGCCGGACAGTCTGAGTCACAGCTTTCCCACTTTATCAGTGGTTTATCAGGATGCTGTCTTTTTCCAGTACCAGAGACTGAAGGCAAGGGTGCTCTCTCACTGAGCTAAAGCCCAGCTCTCATAAGGACCTCGCGCTTGTGAGGTAGGTGGCAGCACCACTGAGCTAAATCCCCAGCCCCTACTCTTATAATTTTTGAGACAGGGTCTCACTAAGTTGCCCACCCGGGTGGGACTACCAGTCAGCTGGGAAACCCTCCTCCTCCTCCCTCAGTGCTGGGATTACAGCGCGGGCATGTGCTCGGCTCTAGCAATGCCAAATGCATTTCTGACTTGTAATTTGAAGGTACAGTGGGTTCTCCAGGATATAACTCCACCCACCCTACGTTGGGGGCGTCTGTCCCTACAGCATCCCCTGGGCCCAACACTCTACCAGTCATGCCCCAGAAGCAGCACCAGAAACTCAGGGAGGGCGGAGGCGGCGGCTCTCAGCTCTAGCGAGCAGATGTATAAGAAGAGGAGCAAGAGTGGAGACTGCTGGCCTGCACCTGGAGATGCCGAGGCTCTGGGAGAAAGGAAGCTTAAACAGCAACTCCTGGTGCCAGGACAGGGGCTCCTGCCTGTGCCTCCTGCTGCTTTCCCCAGCAGGCTGTGGCTGGAAGCCCAACCTCTGCACAGAGAAGCAACCAAGCACCAGGAGCGTAAGGAGGCTTTCTGCCTGGACGCTGCCGCCAAGAACAGGTGAGAGCTGGGAGGAGCAGGCAGGCAGGGCATGACCTCCCAGCACACGGATGGCCAGGGACATCACGCTGGGCAGCACGGGCAGGGGGGGCAAGGGACGCCCCGAGGGCTGGGCTGTGTGGCCCTCAGAAAGGCTCTCTCCAGGGCCAGGGATGTAGCTCAGTGGTGCCACGCCTGCCTTGCAAGTGCAAGGTCCTGAGTTCGATCCCTGGTACCGAAAAAAGGAGGAGGGGGCAGGGAGAAGAAGAAGAGGAAGAAGAGCCCCCTCTAAACCCCATCTCCTATCCGATCCCCAGCTCCCCTCGACACGCCTCACATGCCCCAGTCTGAGCCTGGGCACTCTCCTGTTTCTGCCCTGAACGCCAACACCCCTGTCCTACTCTCCTTCCTTCCCGGCCAGCTCAGGGCCCCTCCTCCACAGACGGTGCCAGCCGCTGGCAGTCTTGGCCCCACACAGTGGGCCTTTATGCCTGGGACTCGACCCGCCACCGGATTCAGAGAGAGGACGAGGATCTACACGCTCGCTATCAGGGAGGACAGACACCCTGAGGGGAAAGCAGAGGCCTCTGTGGCACCCACATCCTCCCTGCCAACTACAGGTACAAAGTGACAGATCACTGAGTAGGAGGAAGGAAAGCCAGGGCTGCAACCCACAGGTACATATTCAGTGGCACCCACAAACACTGACCTGAACCAGGAGCAGCTGCCGGCTGGACAGGTGACCCCCCCAACGACAACTGCTCCCCAGGATGTGGGACCAGGGTGGAGGCCTTGCCCCCAGGGGGTGGGGGAAGCAGGCTCACTCCTCCCGTGCTGACAGGCCGGGCTCGGGGAGTCCCAGCCGCTCCTTCCTTCTTCTTCATATTCTGGAGAGGAGAGGAATACAAATTGGGTCAGTTCTGTCGGGGTCCAGACGCGTCAGAAAACCCCGTGAGGAAAGCCAGAGGGACCCCCCCAGGCCCCCAACACCAGTACAACCAGAAGATGGTCCTATCTAGCACCTTCACTGTCGTGGGCTATACTCAGCGTGGTACAATTCTAAATCTATCACTAACACGGATACTGTAAAACCCAGCACCCGATTCACTCATCATCGGGGAAACGCACGTTAAAACTACAATGACACACCGTTACCCATCCGCCAGAAGGGCAAAAGCATCCACAGGGACAAGAGGTCATTCGTGCACTGCTGTGGATGTGGAGATCAGTAAAACTTGCAAAAAGTGCTTGAAAGAGTCGGGGGAGAGGGCTGTCCAAAGTGAGTTAATACACGTATAAATAAACCAACGTGGAACCACTCCTACGTCTCTGTCGTGCACTCGTAAAACAGATAAATGACAGACTGTGCAGCGCAACACAGGATCGCGGCACCACAACCCCAGTCCTGGACGCAGACCCGGGAACAAAGCGCGAATCCATCACGGAGACACGAGCTCCAGCGTGAGCAGCAGCTCCCTCTGGAGTTGCCCCACACAGGACACTCCCGTGTCCACCCTCAGTACCGCAGGTACCCTGCACACGCTCGCACCGGGGTACGTGCTACAACAGGGAAAAGGGCCAAGCCACGCACCCTGTCACAGCTCTTAATTACACTCGGTGAGAGAGAGAGGCCACACCAAGAAGAGAAGTGCACGACTCCACCCGAGAAAGCTATCAAGGACCTCTAGAGCCTCTGAGGCTGGGCTGGGCAGGAAGGGCTTCCCCGGTGCTGCAGCCTTCCGCTTCCTGGTCTGGGACAAGTTTCTACGTTGGCAAGTTTGGTTTTTCTAAAATGCACAGTTCTGCACTGTGACGTGGGCACTTTATGTATGCACATTATACTTTAATAAAACGTGAAAAACACAAAACTGAGCACGGAGCATAGCCAGAAAGCAGCACACGTTACACAGATGGAGACGACAGCGCTCCCTACTTGGAAGGAAGCAGCGGCTTAGTCACGTGGTGAGATGGGTTGGGCCTTGGGGAGCCCAGCTGTGCCCGTCCGTCCTGGGCTGAGAACCTGGTCTGGTCCTGTCACCTCTCTGCGCCTCAACATCCTTGGCTTGGAGAAAGGGGAGGATGTTTAATTGCATGTGAAATGCCTGGAAACACTGCCTGGCCCACAGCTGATGCTCATTAAATGTTAGTTTCTGGGGCCGGGGATGTAGCTCAGTGGTTCCGCCACCTGCCTCGCAAGCGCAAGGACCCGAGTTCGATCCCTGGTACCAAAAAGAAAGGTTTCTTCCAAGTAAGAGAAAGAATCACATCCCAATAAGTCCACTGGATTGGACCTGTATTTTCTCTTAAGGCCACTCGGCCAACTTCAAGGGTCCCAAACATCACCAGCATGAAGCAGAAAAGAGAAGAAAGACATGGTAAGTAAAGAGGAAAAGCATTATTTTAGTTACAAACTTTCATCAAAAAACAAACCCACTTGGTTCCCCAGACTCTTGACTCCAACTCCATCTCTCCACTGTACCCCTACAGCCGAGTAAAGGCCGAACCCCGGCCGCCCCGCTCACCCCAACTGTTCCTACCCAACAGGAGCCAAGAGGGGCCGGATACAGAGCCACTCAGAACAAAGACACAGGGAGCCAGGACGACACTCCCAACACCCGCCCGATGCCTTCTGGCCCACAGCACCTCAGTCTTCCTTACCTGAGGCACAAGGCCAAGGCAGAGCTTGGGAGGAGCCGACGGACCCCTCCTCACCCACTGTCACAGCCAGGATGGAGACACAGCTCTGGCAACGAGTGACCCATGCTGATTCTCAACTCAGAGGCTTGAACCGTCCTCTGGTCCCTCACCCCCCCCTGTAGCTGGGTCCCTTTGGGAAGCGATTCGTGGGTCCCGTTATGGTCCTTTCTCTGGGTGCTCACAACACCAGGGCAGCCCTCAGTCACAGCACCTCTCGTACCTGCACCTGCCCACAGCTCGTCTCAGCTCCGAGCCCCACGAGAGCAGAGGTCTCTGTGGAACAGGTGCAAACCCGGCCTGGGCAGGTGCTCAACGGACACCAGCTGCACTGACAGAGGTGGACTCTGAGGACAGTGGCAGGTGGGGCTGGGCAGCCACGAGCATCACACGGTCATGGCCAATAGTCGTGCGAGGTGAGACTCACTGCAATGCTGAGCTTGATGGTCTGGCCTTCCTTGAAGCCCAGGTCCAATTTGGGGACTTGGTCTGGGTTCTGGGCTTGTTTTGCAAACTCACACTGCTGTTTCACCCACCTGGAGAGAGAACAGGACAGAACAGTGAGGCAGGAGAGAGCACCTGTACATTAGCACACATTCGCCTCAGTGCAGGATGAAGGTTACAGAGGTTGGGGTGGGAGTCAGGAGTTCAAATCCCAGCTCTGACACTAGCAGCTGCATGCATGTCAGCTTCCATGATGGCTGATGATCCAAGTCTGAAGATGCTTGGGAACTCAATGAGATCCCTTATACGGACGGGGTCTCACCACTGGGCTTCAGGAAGTACTGGGAGGGCCTGGCCCTCTCCCCAGTTCTTGGCAAGGTCTGGGCACAATCCGTCTCAGACATGGTGAGAGAGGACAGAAGTAGAGGCCAACACAAAGGTGTCTCCAACCTCCATTCAAGGCCATCTAGCAGCCACCAGGGACAAGAGTTCCCACACAAGTGGCTGGGTAGTGTCCACTTGCTGGTGTCCTACAGGTGGCAGAGGTGCATTTTTGTGCCCTGTCTTTCCATAAAGGACACCGAGGCATCTGCTGGTGCCCTGGGAATCAGAGTGACCCTTATATCAGGGAAGAGGAGGCCCAGAGAGACCAAAGGAGTGTGACAAAGACTGTGGCAGCTAGGGGCTGGCAAGAAGAGATGTGACACCTCACAGGCTGGGCAGGGGACTGGGAAGGCAGAGACAGGCCACAGGGAAGGTAAAACATCTGTGACGGGGTCGGGCAAAGTGGAGAGAAGGTGGCCAGACCACAAGGAGGACTGGATGTTCCTGAGACTCAGCTAGCACACAAACCACACGGAGCTGCTTGCATACCCTAACCCGGAGAGTCGTCCAGGACAGAGAAAGAAGGGAGGAGGCATGAGCCGTCTCTCCCAGAAGCACTCACTTGAAATGGTCCTGCAATGCCACATTGAAGTCAAAGGCATCACCTCGGTCCCCAAAGCCAATTCCAATAAATGCCCTTCGCCCTGGGGGATGACACACAATCAGTCCACTTTCCCAGGGCAGAGAACGCCTTGCTAAGAGGAGGCAGCCAGACCCACACGTACCATTTTCATCTTCGATGCGGACGATGAAGTACCTGCTGGAGTCTGTCACGCCCTCCACTGCTGAGCCAGGAAACTGATCCACTGGTGCCTGGGCAAAGAGCTCCCCTGAAAGCACAGTGGGGTGAGCCCCGAGCCCGCCAGCCTGGTGCTTCTATCACAACACCGGGCCTCCCTCCTGAGATGACTCCGGCAGGCCAAGGCAGATAAGCTGATCTGCTCAGGATTCCCGTCAAATCCTTTCTTTCTTTTGGTCCCAGGGACTGAACCTGGGACCTTGAGCTTGCAAGGCAAGCAGATCCATTGAGCTAAATCCCCAATCCATCAAATCATTTTTCTTTCTTTTTAATTTTTTTGAGACAAGGTCTCAAGATATAGTTAAGGCTGGCCTTGAATTCACAACACAGCCCAGACTGCCTTAGAACTTGCAGTAATTCTCCTGCCTCGGCCTCCCAGGTCCTGGGATTACAGGCGTGCGCCACCACACCCAGTGTCCATCAGATGTATTCTTGTTGAAGGAAATGACACAGGATCAGAACCAAGGAAAGCTCTAAGTCAGAAGTGGCTTACGGGTCAAACCCAGTCCGTGGTATTACTAATTTTATTTCATAGCCAAATATTTCAAAATCAAACTACATGTGAAACAATTCAGATTTCTGGCTTTCCCTAAAATTACAAGATCTCCCAAAGATGGGCCTCCTTTCCCACGTGGAGCTGCTTCCCACCTGGCCCACCTGCTTTACCCAAGTACAGGATGCACTGAACGCCTGAGGCCCTGGACGGGGCACCCCCTTCAAGAGGCCTCACACACGAGGGAGACTCAGGAGGGCCTCAGGACCTGTGAAAAGGAGAAAGTTTCTACACCTATGGGAGACTCCAGAGCAGGCTGACTCAATCTGTGTCAGAGATGGCAAAAGAAGTCATTTTAAAAGGTGCCCTTGGGAAATGCCCCCTTTTTTTTTTTTTTTTTTTCAACACCAGTTCCTCAGAGCTGCTGTGCTCTGCTTGGCATAAGTACTGAACCAAGCATCTCTACCAGTCCTGTGGCCTAGAGTGACAGGGCACCAAGGCTGAACCTAATCGAAACTGACGGAGTCTGCAGCTTCTTGTCAATTTGTCCACCCAACGCTGGCACCTCTTTTGCTCTCTTTTCCCCACAGAGACAGCTGGCAAGATCTGGGGACATTTTTGGTCATCACACTTTGGGAGATGCGACTTTGGGTCACCTTACAGCTTATGGAACAAAGGGGAAATATCTGCTCATGTTCTGTTTCCAGCAGGGAAATCATGGGGAGGAACTAATGCGATCCTTTCAACAAAAATGGGGCCAAGGCTCTGAAGGTCATGTGTCTGCCCAAGGTCGGACAACTCAGACCTTTCTGAGAAGGCACAGCGGGCAGCTTTGCCTCTTAATCTTCATACTTTCTTCTCTCCACGTATTAGAAAAATCTACATGACGGAAAGCTGTGGCTCCTCACTGAGCGGGCTTTGTGCCCAATCAATCCCCAAACCAGGTCTCAGGCTGGGAGATTCCAGGTGCGCTACCCTCCAGGATCACCAGTGGCCCAGGACGCCTGAGGAGGTTTCTGCAGACTGTATCTGCCAGCTGAGCAAAATGCAGCCCAGCGTGGCTTGTCCTCTCACCACACAGAGCTGAGCAGGGAAGTTCCCAGCCCCTCCAGTTATAGGGCGCGGCAGCTGGGGAGTTACCGTTAGGCTGATAAACAGAATTCCTCAGCAAGAACCCAGCTCAGCAGCCTCTGAGCCAAGCCTCTCTTCCAGGAAAGCTCTGACTTCCTGCTTTCTGCTGGGACCACCCTGCAGGTCTCTAGCCTCTAAAACTAGTGGCTTCCGAAGGACCCCCAGAAGGAACAAGTATTGACAAGAAAGACTCCTTTTCACACCTGCGGACAGTAGTTTCTACAACTGAACCCATGAATTGGGGGAGCTGAAATGTATACAGGGTCTCCGAGTCCCATGAGGCCTGAGCAGCCTGGCTGGCCACGGTCACCTCTACCTTCATCCCCTGGGACAGAGACATCTCAGCCCTGGGCAGCCTCCCCTGCCTGTACCTGAGGTCTTGTCCTCCAGCTTGATGTAGGCCACCTTCCCTTTTGCAGTGATCCGCAGCCGGCCACTCCATGATGGCTGGTCCAGCTGCCACTCCGAGGCCCTATGGGAACAAAATCCACTGAGCCTCTACCAGATGCTGCCGCTCTTTTTCCAGTGCTGGACACAAGAATGGGAAAGGCCACTTGCTCTAGACCAAGGATTGGCAAACTTTCTACAAAGAACAGTAAATATTTTGGGCTTTGCAGGCCACACAGCCTCTGTCACAACCAGGCAACTCTGGTATTGGAGAGAGTAGCAGTCAGACAACATGTATGCGGGAAATATTTTCTGCCAAGCATGGTTGTTTTAATGACGCTATACAGACAGACACTGAAGCCTGAAACTCTCATAATTTTCACACTATGAAATATTCCTCAGAAATTTCCCCAATATGTAAAAATGTGAAAACATTCTTAGCTTGCAGGCCATTCAAAAACAGTACATTGTACCTTGCTAACTCCCATTCTACACGAGAGATCTCCCTTCAAGTGGGATTTCCTTCTGGATTCCTTTCCACAGAGCAAGCAGCTGAGGGAGGGGAGGTCTTGGTTTTGGACCCTGCTAGACCCTGGCGGTCAGAGGACCCAACTGGGACCGAGACCATCTCAGAGGAAAAGTACAGGAGAGAGACAGAAAAGTCCGGTAACAGTGCACAAGAGCACATATTAGAAAAGTGAATATTTAGGAAATATATTCGCAAAGGTATCCTGGGCAGAAAGAAGCCCACAAAAGCAGAGACCAGTGATGGTGGAAACTTTAAGCTTTCACTAATAACAACTTACAACAGCACTCATAGGTTTGCAACCACAGCCATAGACCAACACCAACATCCTCTTTTGGCTTCTAAAACAGTAACTTCAGAGAAGCAGCTTAGTAAAACCCCTAAATACCAAGAACTATGGGTGTTTCCAGGAGACATTTCTTGGAAGTTCCTGCTAAGCACGTATCAGCTCTCAAGATGTGGATGGGGCTGGGGATTTAGCTCAGTGGTTCTGTCGCCTGCCTCACAAGTGCAAGGACCCGAATTCAATCCCTAGTACCAAAAAAAAAAAAGAACTGTGGATGAAGATTTTTGGTTTGTAGGCCACACAAATGCAGATGCTCGATTCACCAGTCAGCAGACCTGGTTTTGGTTCCTCTTACCAGGGCAGCAGGACTTAGCTTCTGGCTAAGGAGAAGTGGAGGGTGACACAGAGGTTGATAGTTTCCTCTCTGCTAAACCAGCTAGGCCTGCCATCCAGTAACTTCGCTTTCTGTGGGACCAAAAGGAACCTAACCCACCCTGCTTAAACCCGACAGCAGATCAGGGTAGATGTCCATCCCTGGTTTGATGCCCCATCTCCAGTTTGTTGACAAAGTAAATGCATTCTTCTTACAGTTGCTGTCCCAGTGTTTTCGAGTTCCATCACGGACGCAGACGCTTCACTACCAGCCCGTGCTAACGCAACTGGGAAGTAACAAGGTGGCAGGAGGGCGGATGAGCAAGCCAATCCCTTATCTCAGGATCTCCTGGCACACACTACGGGAGCCACCGCTCTCCTGAAGTGTCAGCTCCCGCCACCACTCAGTGATACACACTGGTTATTTGGATGGCGGGGAGGGCACCTTTTTTTCACACAAGGATAATGAAATGAAAACAACACAAAAAGGTACACAGTTCAACCCTGCTCGCCTTCCCTACGGTCCCTTCCACAGACACTCTTATCCTTTACAAGCATAGGTATTTCTTTGTCTCTGGAGAAAATTACACAAACTAAGTGAGGATGGGGTCCTCCCAACTACTTACTACAAGCAGTTATCAAGGGTGACACCCGGGGGGCAGGGAGACGGGCAGGAAAGGCTCCCTGGACTTCAGCCACCAACCAGCTTGAAGCTCCGCAGGTCTGGGTCTCTTTGGCAGGTTCTGGGCTCCCTCCCCTGCCCTCAGGGAATTGGCCAGTGACGGGTCCTCCCCACCCCTTATGGCCTTCCAAGACCCAATGGAAGGCCATCGGTGAGCCTCGGAAGAGAAAGCGCCGCGACACCACCACCCATGACCGAGTTCAGGGCCCCCGGCAGCCCCCAGAGGTCCCCAAGCGCTAGGTTCTAAAGACTTCCCCGCCGCCAGAAGTCCCGCGTCTGGTACTGACAGCCTCGACTCTGGGTCCGCCCCGCTTCTTGCTCTGGCCCCCAACTGAAAACGCCCAGCACCACCTCCCCTTCGCCCCTAAACTGGACGGGGTCCTGCACGGCTCCCGTAGTGGGTGTGTCGGGGCGGCGCACAAGGGGTTAAACCCGGGCCAGCGGGAGGTCACCTGTAGCCACGGTTGGTGGCCCGCGGTGGGATGCGGTAGACATGGACCTCCGGCTTGACACAGAGCACCGACTCATAGTCGCTCTCTTCCATCGCGAAGCCCGGAGCCCAGCGGACTTCCGGCTCCCTCAGCTTCCCCGGGACCGGAAGTCGTGCGGCTCTATGATCAGGCTCTGGCTAGAGCGGCAACTCCCGAGCCTCAATTTATACTTGCGCCCTCTGCAGGACACTTTGGTCCAAGACAGGGCCGGGCGCTAGATTGGCCAGGCCGGCCGGCTTCTCCCTCCATCCAGACGCCCCTGCGTTTAGGTTGATGGCTGTTTCCCCAGTGACTATGGTTGCTCTTTTCCCCTCCCATAGAAACATAAAGGTATAAAAAGGAGAGTAAACTTCTGTTTGACGTTTTCGAGGTGACTTGAATCCCTTGAAGTCGCCGGCAATAAAGCTGATTTTTGCTCCTACTCGGTGTGGTCGGTGGTCTGTCCGGAGACTCCCAAGCAGTCACACTTCAACATAAGTAATTTAAGAATCATCCCCGGCTTCACATGGACGTCTCATAGAATATTCTAGGGGCTGCAACGCTTCGCACAGTCAGGTGCCCCCCTACCATGCTCTCCTTCATTCCAAGAGGGCTGTATTTATTGAGCATCTAGCATGTACCGGGCCAGTGTGGGTATTTCTCCTATCCAAAATCCATGACTCACCAGATAAGATACCCTCAAACTCTTTCCCTCTCTGTCCCTCTGTCCCTCTTTCCCTTTTTACTCTGGATAAGCTCATTATGGGATTGATCTAACCTACAATTTTTTTTTATGTTACATAATATAAATTTTAGCATTGTGATTTTTTTTTGTTATTAAATCTGGTGCTGGAGACTGAACTGAGGGCCTTGCACGCTCTAAGTACACGCTCTCCCACAAGGTTCCACCCCCGGCCACTTTAATTCTCTTAAGCCTACAGTTCAGTGCAGTTGGGTCCATTCACAATGTTGTGCGACTAGCCTGTGATTTCCAGGTGCTTTGGTCAATCTCAAACAGAAACTCTATGGGCTGGAGATTTAGCTCAGTGATGTCACGCCTGCTGGCAAGCACAAGGTCCTGAGTTAGACTCCCAGTTAAAAAAAAAAAAAAGACAGTTTCCTTCAAACAGAAACTGTACCCAATAAGCAATAATGGTGACCTCCACTCTACTTTTTTTTTTTTTTTTTTTTTTTTTTTTTTGGTTTTTAGAGACAGGGTCTCACTATGTAGTTGAGACTGACCTGGAACTCACTGTGTAGCCCAGGCTGGTCTTGAGCCTCAGCCTCCCGAGTGCTGGGATTACAGGCGTGCACCACCACGCTTGGCTTCCACTCTACTTTCTGTGCCTGTGAACTTGCCCGTTCTGGGCCCTTCCCATAAGTGGAATCTGATAATACTTGTCCTTACAACCAGCTTATTTCGCTTTCCATAATGTTTTCAAGGTTCACCGATGTGGCAAATGTCCCAATGTTACTCCTTTTAGTAACTGGGTAATATCCCAGCCTACGCCTCATTTTGTTTGCCCATTTACGTGTTGATGGACATTTGGGGTGTTACCACCTTTTAGCCATCATAACTGTTTCGATGAGCACTGGTGTGCAAATCTGTGTTCAAGTCCTTGTGTTACTGCTGGGCCTTGGGAGAATTCTGTGTTTAGTTTTTGCCTCTCCAAACTATTCTCCAAAGGAGCGGCACCGATTTTCGATCCTACCGGCAATGCACAGTGGTTTCACTTTTTCTACGTCCCAGCCAATACTGGTCATCTGCCATGTTTTAAAGATATACAAATAGCATCTTAATGTTAAATTAACCTCTCTTTTTAAAATTCTTTATGTGGATTGATTTAACCAATAATTTCAACTTTTGGGGGGTTTTTTGTTTGTTTTAATACTGGGGATTGAACTCATGGCCTTTTCTCTGAGCTACGTCCCTGGCCCTTTTTATTTTGAGACAAGGCCTTGCTAAATCATGAAATTACCCAGGCCGAGCTCAGACTTGTGATCCTTCGACCTCAACCTCCCTAAATGCTGGGATTATGGATGTGCACCACCACACCCAGCCCCAATTCCTTATTACAAGAAAGAGGTTGAGAAATAATCCAGAAAAATGCAGGTCCTTTGTGTTTTGGTCCTGTCTCATTTTTCTCCCAACTGTTTTTGGTGCTGTTGGTAACGTTTCGCAGTGCTGGGAGTCGAGCCCAGGGCCTTCCTCCGCCACTGAGCTCCACCCCCAGTCCGCTTGTCTCATCTTCTGGAGATCCAGGATGGCGAAGTGGAAGAGGAGAGAGACTGAGAGCGGAGGGGCGAGAAGGGCACAGCGCCACACAGAAAACCTGTCCCTCACATTCTCGCCATCCTCCTGCTTTGTCTGATCTCTTTTTAGACTGTGGGCCGCCGCCGCCGCCTCCC